TTAAAACATCTTTCAAATATTACAAGAGAAAATTTACGTAAGAAGACACAGAAGGCAAGAAATATTTTCGAATTGTTCAGTAAAATAGGGATTAAAAAAGTCAAGAGGGTTCAATCCTATAGTGCGGATAATATTTCAAAGCTTACAGGTACTCAAATCAAAAGTATTATAGCTCATTTTACTCGGGAACCATTGTAGACCGCGTGAACTATGGTTCACGCCACGTGACCACTGCGCCACATATCAAAATGTTTTTTTAGTTTATCTCTGCTATTTCTTATGATTAATAAATAAAGGTAGTTTGCGAATCATATTTTTTAACCAATGTATGCTGTATGCGTTACTTTATTGCAGGACTCGCCCTGCCACAATGCATGTGCTACCTTGTGAAATGTACTCAGGAATCGTACATCACCTGCAGTTTATGCAGGTAAAATATTGCGATCTGGCGATCTGCCTATCCTGGGTTAGCTCCTGAGCTGAACATTCTAAAATAGCAGAACTCAAATATACGCGTCTTTTTTGCTTACTTTAACGCGTCTTCTCTTATTTACCCCAATTTCATAGTCGCGAGATATAAAAAGACTTTAGAGGTAAGTTCGATATGTATATTTTTTACCCTGTAATTACTGTGATTTCTGTACAGTCTTCTAATACATTTTTTATCATGTCTATCACCACTTCTACTATCAACGTTCGAGGAAACTTATCTGCATCTGACGATATCCCATATACCAAGTATTTTGAGCTTTGCTCGTATGAAAACTGGTCACTTCACCACTACGTCTCTGTTATGATTGATAATTATAAGTTTGTTAGAAAGGATACAGCACATCATGTATTTTATTTTACACTAGAAAGTATTGATAATGATTTATCTATTTCGCAAGTCATTCGAGATATTGTACAAAATCTCATAAAAAACAGAAAGGTAAGCTTATCTTTGGAATAATTAGATTTGATGGGGCTTATAGCCAGGTGCTTGTACCTATTGGACATGAGCTAGTAGGAGCCATGCAAGTACTGAAATGGATGCGTTTGTTGGATACGTCTGATAAACATCATGGAATTTATTGATATAAATTTTTAGTAAAGATCTGTTGATTCTGGAGGAGGATTCGGCTATGTACCTTTTTTTACACTAATAAAAATTT